TGTGAGTTTTAGACGCTGGATTTGTTTGCTCAACTGTGTCGTGAAAGGAGATACCCATATTTAAGGCTTGATGGAACCACATCAATCAGTAAAAGACAGAAGTTAGTCAACCGCTTTAATGACCTGTCAAAGGTATGCAGCTTTTATAACATCTGCTTTAGTTTTCCTTTAGCGAAAAATGGGCGGATAAACTGCTTTCTGCTAATAAGGTTTTCAAGGACATCTATGAGGGAATAATATAATGCTAAGCACCATTTCATCAATACTTTGCAGGATGAATTTGTCTTTCTTTTGAGCAGCAAGGCTGGTGGATGTGGTCTAAATTTGATAGGTGGAAATCGGTTAGTTTTGTTTGATCCTGATTGGAACCCTGCAAATGATAAGCAAGTAATTACCTATGTCGAACCCCTCGTTTGGACTCTCATTGAGTTCTAGAATATGAATGTGCAGTCTGCCTTCTAATGGTCTCCTTGTTTTCATCTGTTTTACCACACACAAATAGGCTGCTGCAAGAGTGTGGAGGGATGGACAAAAGAAGAGAGTATTCATCTACAGGTTTTTAAGTACCGGAACAATTGAAGAAAAGGTTCCAATACAAATGTCCATCGTGCTAAATTAATCACCATTTTCACGTTCAAATTTTTATGATATATGTTGTCAATACAGTTAGAATCATTTTTCTCATATATCCCAGTATTAAATATAGGTATACCAGCGACAAATGTCAAAAGAAGGGTTACAGAAAGTTATTCAGCAGGAGTCAACAGAAAACCTTACAACCCAGGTTAATAATTGCTCATTTATGATGTTGATCAGCAAACGTTGATTGCCACATTAAATCAAATTTGTAATCTTAAAAGGTTCTTTGAATGTACTTTTTTTCCCTTCATTCTTTTAGGCGAACTTCCTTTCATCTGAAGAGCTACGTGACCTGTTCTCATTTCATGATAACATCAGGTAATCACTACGTCTATGATTCCATTGCCCTAGATGTGACATTATGTTTGATAATCATTACTTCTCATTTTCAATCCATACATTAAACATTTTACTCAAGAAGCTAGCACGCCACGATGAATGCTTAAACCTATTTCACTAGGGTAGTGTGAATCAACAACATTGGAAAATTTTAAATCTGTACAATAATCATTTCGTTTTTATTTTTCTGTTTGTTAAAATTATGCTGGTTTATTAACCATTTATTTAGTATGCTTTCACTTTCTTTAAAACACATTTAAATTCTAATTATTATTTTTTAAAAATTTTTAAATTTCACATAGAATTTTAAAATATTTTAAATAATGCAAAGACAGAATACTTAAAAACATGAGTGAAAATATTGCTTACAAATTTAATTTTCAAAAGCAGAAAATTAAAAATAAAATGGTTATCAAATCATTATTCCGAACTGGTTTTCTTCTTCTGGAATTAAAGCATTCATTAGTCTCTGGCAACTGTTAATCAAACAACTTGTTCAGTGTTGTGAAGAAGAATCGCCTCTTTGAGGTTTTCTCCATGCTCAACATTTTTTTTTGTTCCTTTTCCTATTCTTTACGTTCCATGTACCTGTACCACTACAACCATTGTCTTTTTAAAAAAGTTATGTCTATATTTTCTCAATTTAACCCGGCAAGATTCTAAATTTCAAAGTTTTTTCCCCTTAAGTAAAAGCAGGTTTTATCAATAAACTAAGAGGTTTTTTTTTTTTTTTCAAATTTAAAAAACCCGCTAGCAAAATATTTTTCCTCCCCTGCTGCATGAATTATAAAATAATCACCAATAAACACAAATCAAAGGACAGAATTCTGCTTCTCAATTGCAAGTACATTTTGAACCGCACAGGTCTGAAATCCATGAAAAGATGAACTGCACGCGGTGCCAAAATTGTAATGGTTGGCCCGAGGTCATGGAGGAAGACCCGTCAACGAGCAGAACTTGTCAGTCTGACCAAGTAACTTCTGACATTGGCGGATTTGCACAACTTGCTGGATGCCTGGACAAGTTGAAGAACTCTGAGCAACAGGTTGGTCACTTCTAATTTGTGGAGGACAGAATTTCTTCAAATTGCCTTATTTTATTACCTCTGCTACTGGAAAATTTTCAGGTGGGAGCTCCTCTAGAAGAAGATCTAGCCAACTGGGGGCACCATTTTGACTCTACTACCGTACCAGATACTATTTTGCAAGCTTCTGCTGGAGATGAGGTTTGATCTTTAATATATTATATGAACAAACACACCAAGTTGGATGAATAAACAAATTTCCCATTATCCTTTTATCTCGTTTCAATGTTTTACTTGCATTGCTTCAGGTAACATTTGTTTTCTCCAATCAAGTTGATGGGAAGCTTGTACCTATCGAATCGAAAACTTGCCCAAGGATGAAGGAAGCAAAAGGAAATGAGAACAACTTTAAGATGAAGCAAAACTCAAAGCAGAAACTATTATTAGTATCTCAACATAGAAAACCTTTACAATCCATTGCTTCTAATGAAGATCCTAACAATGTCTGTCAAAGGGAAGCCATGAAGCCTGTCAGAACATTACTTGAAGGTTCAGGGCATGTAACATTGAAGCTCAAGCACTCTCTTGGAAATCACTTACCACAGAAAAGAATGTCTGATGTTGTAGAATATGACGATTTCGAGTAGAGTTCTGTTTCCGCTCTCTGCGAACACAGGAGTGAAGAGTAAACAATTATAAGTTTATACATCATTCAATAGCAAATGGTAAATAAAAAAGGTGATTTGATCTGCATACTTCAGTGTTGAGTTTTCCCCTTTGTTCTTCCTTACATTAATGTTATGACAAAGGAATATTATAACTAAAAAACCTTTGAAGTTTTATAATGCTCAAGAGTTGAGATTTTGACTTCATGGGGCTTCTATAACATAGCTTATAAGACAGGAATTGCAAACATGGGTGTCAACAAGCCCCAAACATAGTTCTCTTAGAGGTTACAAGTTTCATAAAATCTTAATAACTTCAAACAAACGAAAGATATCATAGATTTTTAGACACCAAATATTGCAAAGCCAAACGGTAATAAGCTAATTGAGAACCTACCATTACAGAAAAGAAAAAGTAAAAAGTAACATTTGTTGTCATCTTGTTTTAGATTCTCAATGCTTTAGCCCCAAGTAAACAAATGCCACCAATTTGCAAAAGAATTCAGAAAAATGAAATATTTGGAGCCAGCCAACAATTGATTTGCTCAATGGAAAAAATTGACAAGGAAGAAAGTTTTCACATAATATCTTAAAGGATTTATTGGTTTGGCAGCATCCAAAGCATCCAAATTAAGAAACAAATTAAAGCCTTGATCTGACATAGTAAAATGAGCCTTTGAACACAATTTCTTTTTTGTTTGTGAGAAAGAAAAGAGATGCACAAGATTCTTAAATTAGACCACAAACAGACAAGTTTTGTTCACAAGATGGGAGACCAAAAGGGAGACATTGGCAATTAGACAAGTATTTAGCCATCAGATTGGCACTACTTAGATCATGTCTTTAATAAGGAAAAAAAAAGTCCTAAGCTGTCAAAAAATTGGGAATCCACCATCTGTCCATATCTGCAAATTCAAAGGAATTTGGATTTAGATTTATGTGGATAAAACCATGTGAAGGTAACCAAGGAAGAGCATGTGACAGTCAAAAAGTCCACATGAAAAGTTGAACAAAAAAAAAAGAAAAAAGATTCTTGATTGTGTCCACAAACCTACTGCAAAGGCCAAACATCTAAAGTTATTCAAAACTTTTCAAAGTTTTGTATTATAATTGGCCAATCACCTACTAAATATATTAATTTTTCTATGGGTGAAAACTTCATTTGTTTTATCCTACCAACTAAATTTAGCGTGGATGATGGCCAACTACCTTAGGAATTAATTCCTATGTGTTTTCCGACACCAAATATATTATAGGGTCAGATGGTTGCCTCCATGAAATTAATCGAGGTGCGTGTATGTTGGCTCGATGCTCGGATATAAAAAAAATCACTCCACTGTTTTACCACAACATGTATTAGAATAAGCTAAGTGTATTGATTTTGTTAATGGTGAAATTTAATCAAAAGGCATGATTTTTAAAATGTCGTTCGATAACCATTTTGTTTTTCTATTTTTGTATACTTTCATTAGTAAGTTTTTCACTTTGCTTGAGAACATATTTAAATTCTTAACCAAATTTCAAAAATTGACCAAGACTTTGAAAATGTTTATCAAAGCTATATAACAAAACAAAAAGACGCATATATAAAATAATATTTCTAAGCTTAATTTTTAAAAGTAGAAAACTAAAAAATGATCATCTTTTCGACTTTGACTCCAATCATTGCTTTTCTTTTATGTTACTTGAAAGTAACTGCTTCAACTTCAACCAAGTTTACTCTGCGCGGTGCAGGAGATTTGCAAATCCCTTTGCTTATATTAAAACTTTCTAGGGCCCGCCTCATGACATCTTTTCTCCTTTCCTAGTCTATTAATAACAAAACATATTTTTCCAATGTTTAATAAAAATGTAGTTATCAAACTAGGCCTAAGTTTCGTAAACTATTTGGAGTACTTGAAATGATTTTTCAAAAGATCCTTAGGATCAAAACATATAAAAGGAATAATAGGTATTTTTGTTTCAAGACATTGATTCTCCTAACATTTAATATGATCCCATCCCAAGTACTTAATAGCATTGATATTTACTATGAACTCTTGCAACTCTAATTCAAGACTTGAACCAATCTAGTTTCCCAAAGAATGGAACAAATGAACCCAATTGAAAAAGGTCTATGATGGAAGAAAATGAAACACAAACTGGAAAAGAATATATAATTTATGTTTTTGTAATCAAAAAAAGAAAGTCTCACCCCACAATTTTTTTATTACACACTGACAAAGCCAGTGTCACGAAAATGTCTACTGAACAAAGAATGGAAAAACACAAATTTCCCTCTATATATATAAACAAACATCTCCACAACTCCAACCCAATTCCCCAAGGCAAGTTAAAAAGAAAGAAAAATGAGCCATAAAGAGAAATGAGAGACCTTCTCTCTCTATTCACCTTCTGCTAAACTATTGTATTCCTCCATGGATCCAAGAATTTCCTTCTCAAATGACTTTATTGAAACTCAACAGCCATTGAAGCTTGAGAACATCTACAGAGAAGCACCTGTTTCTTCTGATTTTGAGTTCACTGTGAAGGACAGAAGCATGATTCCTGCAGATGAGATTTTCTTTCAGGGGAGGCTGCTGCCATTGAAGGACAGTTCAAGGAAGACAACTTTGAGGGATGAGCTGAAAGTCAATGAAGATGATGATAATGGTGATGGTGAAAGTTTTCCTAAGCTAACAAAAAGCTCTGCAGGCTGCTGGAGGGAGAGATTTGGTTTCAGGAGATCCCATATTGGGCCAAAGAAACAGAGTAGAAGTGAAGGGGTTCTCAAAACTGTACCAGAGGAAGAGAAAACTAGTGTGTTTCTTCATGAGGACCTCATAAATATTGCAAGGAAAAATGGGTAAGTTGAAAGATTTCATTTTTCCATCCTAAAAAACAGGAACCCAGCTAGAAATTCTCCTGTGAGACTAAATTTTACGTTCTAACAGGAACCCAGCTAGAAATTCTCCTGTGAGACTAAATTTTACGTTCTAACTTTTTCTTATGTGTATAATCTTTCGATTCTAAAAATTTAGAAGGGGTAAATTAGATAGAAAATTTAAAGTCTTAGAAAGATAGGAAGATGTTATCTTTGCCTATGGGGTTGAATTGATGCTCAAATGGCCCTCAACAGGTGCCATTTGGCATAGACTAAGGTATTTGAGTATTACCTATTTAGGCGAGTTTAAAAAGAAAAAATTCTTGATGTCTCCAGAGTCGGGTATTGGGTCGGTGTTGCCCATGGATTAGTGGCGGTGGAGGCACGATATCGGGTTATGAAAAAAGGGGGAATTGATGTGCCCAAATCGAATCAGCTAACAGAAGTTATTTTATGTACAGGAATTGTTACTTGAAGAAAGCTAACCCACAGAGATGAGAGGAATTATAAAGAGGCAGAGGCAGGATTTATAGAGATGCTTAAAACTAATGTAAAGCAGAAACATTAAAAGATTTTCTTCTGATTTTCAAGCAAAAATCATTGGTTGAGGCTTGAAGATGCCATTGTTGGGGAAAGAAAGGAGAAAATCTATTGCTTCTCTTTTGTTTGTGACAAGAAAAACCAACCAAACCCCATGTGAGGGCTCAGGTTGGAAATTGTAACTTTTTCTTTATTTGTATAAATGGTTTAGATTTATTTGAAGAGGTAGCTAGTAGCTAGATTTTGTCATGTGTAATTTCCTTTTGGTGGGTTTTATTCATAACTCTCTTATCTTGCAAAATATATATTGCTGCTTTCATTTTGGAAGAACATTTGGAAATCCAAAGCCTGTGAAATGTGTATATAACAACCAAACTAACAATACCATATCATCTCTAGTGATGGAAGAAAAAATTTTCAAATCCATTCAATAAATGATTTATTTTCCCTTTTGTTACAAATCCAGCAAATTGTGAACAATCGAACCCAAAATCTCATATCCTTGCGAAGAAAACCAAATCATCAAAAGAGTATTGTTGTCCAACTTTTGTCAATAGAAGGAATAATATATTAACCCACTAAATGTATTCCATTCCAGAAGATTTTCCAACTATCGAAAAACTTTTCAACATGAGTATAGCTCAACGGTAATTGTCATATATTCATTCCCTTGAGATTGGAGGTTAATCTCTCATATCCCCAAATTGATATACTAAAAAAACTACAAAAAATTTTGTCCACCTCTATAAATTTATCATATCTTAAGAATACTTTTTTAGGCTACAAAAGACATTGAAACTGCTAGAATAAGATCTTTTTTTTTTCCTTTAACAAATACAATTTGTCTAAAGTCAAAAACTGGGAACAAAAAAAGAAAGACTTGGCTACGAAAATGGCCTCCATCTCTTTCCCTCCTTTCCATAGCCTTTTCCGACCATGCTACGACTAACTTTTCCCTTATCCACTCCTGGTTTGAAGATGGAAAGAAAGGCTTCTAGAGTTACAACCACCACTAAAAAGGAGAGCATCTATTCTAGGAAGCACGGACACTCCATTCTAGGTGGAGTGTCCATATCGGACGCGTATCGGACACCGATACGGCCGGACACGTGTCCAATTTTTTATTTTTATTTTTTTATTTCGGACACTCCTTGGACATGCGGGGACACGCTGGGAGGGAAAACAGAAATCTTCGTGTTCTGCTTTGTGTTCTCCTTCTCCCTTCCACAGTCAACAAAACCCTAAACCCTACACCAAAGTCCAAAACAACAAAACCCTACCCCCACCATGCTCCACCATCGACCATCGTCGCCACCATCACCGGCGACTTCTGCCGCCATCATCTCCGGCCACTTCTTTTTAAATTTAATGTAGGTTGGATAATGGATTTTGTGAATGTTAAGTATATTTTGATTTGTTTTTGTTCAATTTGTATGATTAATTTATGTAAAAGTATTATATAATCAATACATATGCATATATTATCTTAAAAAAAATAATAATAACGTATACCCAACGTGTCCGTTATCACCATGTCCGTATCATGTTGTGTCCGTACTTCTTAGCCTCTATTCAACCAACTAAACTAATTAAGACAATATTCTAAAAGAATGATTAAAACATTTAAAATTTTCTTTTAGAAATTAGATATCCGAATCTTCATCATTTTTTGGGATCAGATATTTGGGATCAGATATTTGAAATCTTCTGATCCCTTAACCTAAACAAATATTTAGATCATACAAACAAATATTTAGATCATATAAATATTAATTTGTCAAATATCATATTATGAAGTAACACGACTAAATTTAACTAATTACAATGCTTAATCGAACTTTTTTTAGAATGTTACATGGCAAATGAGGGGTTGAGAATTTAAACATATAAATACAAAAAAATTACCATAAATTGGTCTAGTAGTCATTACAATCCAACCACCTACATGAGATTTATAATCCCATGAATTTCAATAATCCTATGAATTTCACGTAGAAATTACTCCATCTATCAAGATCGACCGAGAAAAGTCAGAAAACTAATACCTTCTTCAAAGTTGAAGGTTTGATCTCCACTATGCACAAATTAGAAAATTATGATACACTTGCTCAAGACTCAAAGAATAATTATAGGTATGAAGAATAACTATACAGAGGCTCATCTCCTAGTATGAAAAATTTCCAGCCACAGTTGAATATTTTACATTATGTACAAAACCCGAGTCTTCTCCATCTTTCGGGAAAGAATGCCTACGAGACTCTCACTGTACATCTGCAACAAAAAAAAAATGCCATGAACATCACAGCATGCAGGCCAAAGTAGCAAAGCAAAACAAATACTAATTATTTCGGTTTTGAACTTTCATGGTAAAATAATATTGCAATGTTCTATTGCTACCATATAAAACTAGTGTCATATATATTTGATATCCGTGAGCGTCCGAACCAGCTAAAAAACTAGTGTTATATCAGTTTAAAGTAACGCGGTTTTCAGGCTTCACTCCAATTGTTGATATAAACCGTGGTTCAACATGCTCGTATAAAAGAAGCAGCAAAATCCTTATCTGAAATGTTGCCAAACCAAGAAGAAGAAAAAAAAATTGTCTAATTTCTGCACAATATTTTCTATAGTTGAGCTCTGAGCACTGTTCAGGGAAAGAATGGAAGGATTCTAGTTTATAACAGTACTGGCTAAATATATCAGAAGTTCTCAATCAAGTCCTTCCTAAAAGAATGTTGCAATTTGTTAGGAAAAAGTTGCATAATTAAATTATTGTTTTATTAACCTATTTAAAACATAAATATACAACTATGATGCTATTTGACACATGAAAATCTCAATAAGTATGACCTGCTCATCGACAAAGGCTATTTCTTCCTAGTGAAATGTATAAATGGGATGCCCACATGTCCAAATAGGTTAACGAAATGTTAATTCAATGACAAATCGTAAAAATGAGAATTAAAAAAAATTCTTAATACCAAGTTGAGAAAAAACCTAAAACTGATATATTTAGCCAACAATATTTGATACCAGAGGATCGGAAAAGAGATTTGACTCACATTTACACCAGGCTCCATCTTCAATGTGAAAAGAGCTCGTTGCTATCCTTTTTAAGGCGAGGCACAATGCAATGGCTAAGGCAGTAATCATGATTCCATTTGAGATGAAGCATAAATCTTATGCAGTAGTCATTCAATTCCGTTCCCACGAGTCTGTAGGACCCAAATACTTCTCCATGGATTCTCTCTTGCGCTCAGGATCAAGGCTGCAAGCATGAGAACCAACATCAACCAAGTTTCTAAAGATTCTCCTATTTCTAGCGTATCCAAAAATAACTATGGGAGCACCCAAAAATGAAATAAAGCAATAAAAGCAACGACCTATTTCTCAGGCCAAGAAAAGTGTAATGTATGGCACTTGCACATGCAGAAGCTGGAGCTATAGCCGCAGCTGGAATTGCTTGAACAGCCGTTGCAAAAGCAGACACTGTACTGCCTCCACGTTGATACTTTTTCAAGGGAGTCCGAACCAAGGCAGAGGCAGACTTCCCGAGGCCATCACTAATGCTTTCGTAAGCCTGTTAAAATTAAGTTTTTCAATTCCATGGGGAAAAAATAGAGAAAACGTGTATATAATAGACAGAGTAAAAATGCTCGTCTCCTTCCCCCATATATAATACAAGAGGAATAATGATGAAATGTTGTGGGAACAGAATTCTGTTCCCACGAGTCTGTAGGACCCAAATTTTTTGAAGATTAGCCAACTTCTTCCATAGATACTTGGCTGCCCGTAAAAGAAAGTCCCTGATCTCTGAATTGAAGAATGAGCAAGGTTTCTCACTGATAAATCAAAAGGATATTGAGTCAGAAATCATATCCTACTTTAAGCATCTTTATTCTAGTAGGAATGCTCCTCAGTTCTCTTTACAAGGTATTCATTGGAGACCTATTTCATTCTCAGACAGTTTATGGCTAGAAAGACAGTTTGAAGAATCAGAAACTTGGTCAGCTTTGAATGAACTTGGAAGGAATAAAGCGCCGGGACCTGATGGGTACACTACTGAATTTTTAATCAGATTTTGGCAGCCTTTGAAGTCTGATTTTCTCCGTTTGTTTCAGGAATTCTACCGAAATGGTCATCTCAACGGTTGTCTTAAGGAGAATTTTATATGTCTAATACCAAAGAAGGTGGCAGCTTCAAACATCAGACATTTTAGACCAATCAGCCTCTCAAATTCCATTTATAAAGTGTTGGCCAAGGTTCTTGCAGAACGCCTCAAGAAGGTGATCTCACCTGCCATCTCTCCTACCCAAAGTGCATTTGTTGAAGGTAGGCAGATTCTTAATCCAATCTTGATAGCTAATGAAGCTGTGGAGGATTACAAATTCAGAAGGAAGAAAGGCTGGCTAATTAAACTTGACTTCAAGAAAGCTTTCGACAAAGTGGATTGGAATTTTCTCAAATCTGTCCTTCATCAGAAATTGTTTCGAAATAGATGGATTCGATGGATCAATGGTTGTGTTAGGAACACCCGGTTTTCAATCTTCATTAATGGGAGACCAAAGGGCAGAATAAGGGCTTCAAGGGGGTTAAGGCAGGGCGATCCACTTTCCCCCTACCTTTTTCTCCTGGTCAGTGATGTACTTAGCAGCATGTTGGATAAGCTTTACTTGAATGGCTTTTATGAAGGATTTTTGATTGGAAGCAAACAGGTACATGTTTCTCATCTTCAATTCGCTGACGACGTCCTTATTTTTTGTAAGGATAATGATGAAATGTTGGCTAATCTCTTCAAAACAGTCAAAGCTTATGAATGGGTGTCTGGTTTTTCTGTAAATTGGGAGAAATCGGCCATTTGCGGTATTAATTTTCAGCAAAGCAAGATAGAACAGGTTGCCTCTTCATTTAATTGTCAAATAGCAAATTTGCCTTTCTCGTATCTGGGCTTACCTCTTGGCGGCAATCCACGGTCTGCTTCTTTTTGGAGTCCAGTCATCGAGAAAATAGAAAAGAAGTTAGATCGTTGGAAGAAGTTTCAGTTATCAAGAGGAGGGCGTTTGACCCTTTGTAAATCTGTTTTATCTAATATTCCCATATATTATCTTTCACTTTTTCAACTGCCAACAGGGGTTAGAAAACAGATCGAAAAAAGATTGAGGAACTTCCTTTGGAACAGTGGTGAAAAACACAACTTGAGCCATCTAGTCCGTTGGGATATCACTTCTAAACATCTAGAAGATGGAGGTTTGGGCGTAGGCGGTCTGAAACCACACACAGACAAACACATGGAGGCCCAGTCCAACTCATAAATCATAGACTAAGAAATATACGTGACATACACAACCTGCGTGAAGTTTTCATCAACATCAATCAAAAAAGCAGTTTGTAAAATGCGTCTATCCACTAAAAGCAGCGCTCTTCTTGCCAAATGGGGCTGGCGTTTTGGGCATGAACCTACGGCACTTTGGCATCAAGTGGTGGAAAGCATTTATGGCTTGAGTAACCTAGGGTGGTTTTCAGGGGAAAGATCAAACAGATGTGCAAGATGCCCTTGGATCAACATTTCTCGTCAATGGAAGAAGGTACAGTTTTTTTCTACATTTAAACTGGGTTCCGGCGTTAGAATCTCATTCTGGCATCATCATTGGACTGAAAATGATTCTCTTAAGGAAAGATTCCCATGTCTCTTCCGTGTATCTTCTTTGCCTAATGGAACAGTTAATGATTTTTGGGACCCTTTGATTTCTTCTTGGAAAATTCAAACTAGAAGGTTGCTTAAAGATGAGGAAGCTGAGGAATTTATTGATTTATTGGCTGTTTTAAATTCCTACATCCCAGACAGTTCGGAGGATAGTCGTTTCTGGTCTTTGGAAGCTTCTGGCTCCTTTTCAGTGGCATCTCTTTGCAATTCTTCTTCGTCATCCCTTTTGCCTACCGATCTTTATAAGGCTATTTGGAAAACAAAGAGCCCGAAGAAAGTTGGGTTTTTTGTTTGGATCATCATTAATGGAAGATTGAATACAGATGAAGTTCTTCAAAGAAAGCTCTCGGTCTTTTGTCTACAGCCATCAATATGTATGTTATGTCAAGAAAGCGGGGAGAATCTGATCCATATTTTCTTCCGATGTCCTTACGCATTGCACTGTTGGTTCTTGTTATTTAAAGAGTTCAATCTCTCCTGGGTTTTCAGCGACATAGCAGTGGATAATATCCTTCAATTACTCCTAGGCCCAATTCTATCTTCTCAAAGTAGCTTGCTGTGGTCAAATGGTGTCAAAGCCTTGCTCTACAAGCTTTGGTATGAAAGAAATCTCAGAATTTTTAAGGATCGTCGCAAATCTCCACTGGATCGTTTCAGTTTGGCTAAATTCAAATCCTCACAGTGGAGCTCTTTATCACCTTTGTTCAAAAACTTTTCTCCCTCACTTATTTGTTTCAATTGGGGAGCTTTTACCTTATCTCTTAATGTTTAAGCTTATCTTGTTCTTTTCCATTTACTTGTAATTTTCTTTTATTTTTACTCTTTTGAGAGTTTGTATCTTTGAACATTGCCATTCCTTTTCATTAATTCAATGAGAAGTTTGTTTCTTGTTCAAAAAAAAAATATAATACAAGAGGAGAGGTTTTTGTGTGTCAGTGTGACATAGAGAGAGGCGACAGTCAATCCTCTTACTAACATCTAACATAAAAAAATAATAATAATAAATAAATAAATAATTGGGAAACATTATTAAAAGTAAATCAAACTGACCTCTGGTTTCATTTCTGAGCACACATGAATAAATTCCGAAAATATGCATGAAAACCATAAAATTGTTTGTTTTCATGTAGAACATGTTTTACACAGAGGTTTTTAAACAGACAACTGATCCGTGTGTTAATTTGAAGTGCAATTAGTCCATCTATATTTAAAATTGGAAATATAATCATGTCGGATATTGAGAGCAGTAACTAAGATTACAGGATTACTAAAATTTTATCTGACATCAAGATCCGGATCATTGTACAGTAAAGTTAACATAATTACTGAATTTTTTTTTAACAAGAAATGAAACCTTTCCAATGAAAAGAAACGAAAGTTAACATAATTACTGAATTTATTCCATGCAGGATATGAATTCATGTCCAACAGTATCCTTCTTTTCTCTCTTCAACATTCACAAACAGATGGACAGAATCATTTCAAGTGTACGTTAGAAATTGAAATATGATGCATGCAAACAAATATTGAATATTCACCTTTTTCAATCCTTCTTGAGCATCCTTAGGCTGATTGGATCTTATATTAGCCTTTGTTTTATACCGTACTTTCACCGAAGGAGGAATACTAGTGAGCATATATTCTGCCTGTAGCAAAATGTCATGAGCCCCAGCAGCTAAGTGTACCCCTAGTCCAACAGCTTCAAGGGAAATACTTCTGAGAAATGCAATAGTACCTACATGCTCAATTATTGGAGTTAGAGAGTATCAAGAAAAAATGAAGAAAGAACAGGTTACACAAGTATCAAAATTATTACAGCATCTTCAAAAGGGATAATTTTACCCTAAGACAGTTTGATATTCCTTTACGTCTCATCTATTATTATTTTTCCTTAATTAGATATTAATCTTTACCTTTGTGTATATAGGATTTTTGTTCTCATGTGAAAAACAAAGTAAAGGTTCATAAGCGATTTCCAATGGCAACCCACTGAGAAGCTTTGCAAAAAAATTAATATATATTTTCTAAGTATACTTTGAATTTGAACTAACACAATTATCCCAGTATCAAAACCATCTACATTTTCCATTGCCTAAAATTTTATCATCATAAGTTCACATGCAAGATCAAAACTAAAATTTTATGTTAACAAGCATTAGAAGAAACTAAACTCCCACCTTTCCTAACACAAACCATTAAGCACTAATTAGATTTGACATGATATTTTAACAATTTTTATTATGAAAAGCACAACCCCAGATGAAAGTCACCTCTTTGCATCCCTTTGAGTAGTCGCCTATCCTTTTTGTAGCTCTCAACTGGAAAAGAGACCAGCTTTGAAGCACCAGAGCCGACAGCAACTAATGAACGGACGGTAGGAAGGCCCTCCAGTATTTTACGAATCTATATCAGGTTGATAACATGCTATTAATAATTATTATACTGTACAGAATAACCAACACAACAAGCTTTTAAAATTCAAGTAGGGTACCTGATTATGAGAAATATCTTCCAACCATTCCCCTATAACTGTTTCACCGACACAGCCCCAACCATAGACTCCAACAGCCTGAACATGTTTAAGGTGTAGCTCAACCCCCTGCACCAGTTGTCAACTTAGTAAGTGACACAACGAACCACCTTGACCTTTGAACAAGTATCACTTATAGGAAAAGCAGATTTTGATGAATAACGTGGTCTGTAACAGTGTGTGTGTTGGGTGTGCAGGGGCAGGGGGTGTTTACCTTCCAAGGAACCAGATTCACAAGTTCCACATACTTCCCACCTCTTAATGCTGCCAAATCAACACGGCTAGGACTGTAATCAACACGAACTACAATTGGTTGTATGTCAAACTTCTGAAAAATAAAATAATGCAATTAGTACAAAGATTTTAACAACATAGTCAATAGTTGAGGTTAACCAAAAGAGAAGGGGCCACACAAAATCAAACTCGAGACATTAATAAGCAACAAATCTTCATTCAAATTTAACTCAAAAAGGGGCAGCACAGAGGAAGGGGTCAGTGTCTTCAATGCTACCAAGCTGTTTCTATGGAAGATTTTGTGGAATCACTGAGGCCACACTCATCATATCCGTAGCCAGTAGGCACATTGGCCAGGGATCCTCACAAGGGTGAATAACCAAATTCCAATTGAAATAAAATCCTTAGGATAAATCAATGTAGTTTACGAGGACTCAATCCCATTCAAAGGAATACAATCATTTTTTCAAAAGTGTGTACTTAACCTAGTTTTGTCCTTAAACTAGGTCAAACACCTCACCTTGCTAAGCATCCACTTAACTAAATCGAAGAAGAATAGTTTTAGCAAACTATAGCTAAATTGAGATTTTAAAAAGAAAAAAATAATCATTTCCTTATCAATTCCTTATCCAATTCTTCATTGCATGATCCATGAACACATTTGATTTTATTCTCTATCCACTGTTGCTTAAAATTATTAGATCCAATGATTACGGTTAGAATATGAATGAATAATTAAATTTATTGTTACCCATCAACTAAAGCTAATTCAGTAGTAATTTAATATGGTATTAGAACAAGAGATCTTATATTCAAACTTCTATAATGTCTTTTCCTCCCCAATTAATATTGATAATTACTTGCTGGGCCTTGTACTAATTTCAAGCCTACAAGTGAGAAAGAGGGGGAGTGTTAGAATACGAATAAATAATTAAATTTACTATAACCCATCAATTTGAATTCAGATGTGATTTAAAAATGAGACATCACAAATATAAGTTAGAGTTGAGGTAAAACAAAAGTGGACACAACTATGCATAAGTGTGTGTGTGAGAGAAAGGGCATTTGTCGCAGCAATATGCATAACCAATAAAATTTTGCCATAACTTGCCTGAAAATAAGGAAGCAACGCCTCCTCTGCAAAAGTAAGCCCAGCAGGACTTTTGGTCGTAGAAATAGTTTTCGAACCATCAGAATCAAGTGGATGACATGATGACTGGTCTCCCGATGAACTTTTTTCCCCAAAAAAGTTAACAAGAAAATCTAATTGGCATTGATGAAGATGTAATAGCATGGGCAGAAAACCGATACGCAACCTTGAAAGGAAAACAGGTAATTAACCCATAATAAGTAAGCATGAAAGACTATTATTACATAATCACAAACATTTATATTGGATATTTTATAACATTAATTTATTTGGAGGAAAGGAAGGAGAAAATTGAAGAGCATTCTTAGTAAGAACTATGAAGATCATAATTCTTAGTGAGAACAGTGAATGCTCTTTCTATCAATATGGTGGAAAGGAATGGTCAATTCCTTCCAGCCAAACAAAAGATTTCTCTTCCACCGTTTAGTCGTTGACCATACCAAACACTAACCTTACGGTAGACATCCTGTTTTGACCTTGTAGGACACAAATCACAAGTTTTACTTAAGCATCACCCCAGAGATGCAATCATTAATCACATCTTACATAGAAAACAGAAAGACTAAAATTTGGCGCACCGGTATTCCTCAAGAGGGATCGAAGGATCTGGTCTAATAGCTTCTAAGTCGAGCTTCAATGCTTTTGAGGAAGACTTACGAGGATGATTCTTCGAATTGTAATATCCAAGTACCTTTCAGCAACCACCAGAAAAAGGAACGAAAAAAAGTCAGTCTGTAAAAAGCAGGAATGCAAAAACACTTCACTTGAATAAAAGTGAGTACCAGCTTCCAAGGTGCATCTACACTCCTGTCATGAAGATGAAAATCTTGAACTGAAAGTGAAAGTCTAGATACACACATTTCACCAACTGGAAAAATATCATATTGAACTTGCATGGCAGAACATGCAAGCTCTAGACATGTATGTTGATCTCTTTTAAACATACTCATCCGTCGATCGCCATTCTCTCTAGAAACTTGCCAATCAGAACCAGCATACATTCTCCATCTTACATCAATATTACTAAGAAGTACACGTCCACTTGCCTCTTCAACCTCATCAAATCTTTTGCTCTCAATAGAACAAAGATCATCTCTTACGGAATCTTCGATTTTACTTGCATCTGAAATGTGGTTTTCAAGAATTTGTATAGGCACACCCCCATACCATCCACTTCTTCGTCCTCCAAGATCTATACCACCAGAATTCCTGGAATTACAAATATCAGAAGGTAACTGTCGGCCTATTGTTAGGTCTGATAAAGGGCGAAGCTCAGACAAGCAATACCCTTCTATTATTTCAGGAAACTGACAGTATTGCATGAAAGATGTTTGACCATCAGGCTCTGAGCCAATGAAGGGATAAGCAGGAGAAGAAGTTTCATGAACTTCACAATTCAAACTGCATACCTCAGCATGAAGACCTTCATTGGGTAAACTATGATTTGACTTGCTAAAATACCATTCTCTGGTTTGGTTATCTTTATCTAATAGGAACGCATCCTCACATATTTCATCCATCAACCCGACTTCACTTTTTTTAACTGGTGGATTGTGACAAGGAGGAGAAGATGATTCATTGTCAATCTCTTTTCTCTCTTGAGCCTGTTGAACATTATTCCATCTCGTCTGCAAATGAACAATTGATTCCTCCAGATCAGGGGCAAATAACTGCTGAAGTTGAGCAGCCAAACGTACCAGACCAGTAGTAGTGTCATGGCACGTTTCCACGACAATGTGGGCTTTGGGACATTCTAACTCCCACTTAAGGCCATCGTTGCAATTAGTTCTCAATATTGCTTCAATAAATGTATCCCGGGCAACCTTAACATAGCCTGCCTTGCGGAGGTCTTCAACATTGTAAGCATTAAGAACATGCTCATAATCAGATACACTACATAGAAGAAGTCCGACATCTTGTATTGTGATTCTGTAATTATCTTCAACTACATCTGCGACACTAGAACTTGAAAGTGTCACTGAAGATGCAGCCAACAGGCAAGCAACATAACCCTCATCCAACTCTTGTTTGATAGTTGAAAAACTGGATTCCGTTTGAGGAGGTTCACTGTTAACCAGCAAGTTCTTTAAGTACGGCTGATAGCTCAACCCAACATCAATAAAGTTAAGAGAAAAATAAGATCCAGAAGACTTTTTTGGGTTCTGTCTGGGCATAACCTTGTCGCCTTCTGGTTCAACTGGAGGAGACAAAAAGAAAAAGGAGCAGATGACATCCAACCAATCCAAGCGACCACCTATGGCCAGAATTGTTGCACACCTTATAGTTATTGAAGAAAAACCCTGGCAACTCTCAGGATCCCACATATGTACAATATCACAACCAGCTAACCTTGAAGATAAAGCATTTGAACCTTCCCCATCCCCACGCTTCATGTTAGAATTGCTACATGAGATCAAAAGAAACTCCTGATTAGGATCTTCAGAGATGAAACCCAGCAATTTTCCTTCTCCATGGGCTAGCCAAAAGAAATTGGCACCCTTGATACCACCAAGGTTGGAGACCGAGATTAATTCGAAGTTTTGAATTTCCAGTCTTAGATGATACCATGATCCAGGAAGTTCCCTCTGCAAAGAGCACTTTGTACTCTCTTTTGAATCTGGCCTAATGGCAATTTCTAGACAATTACAATCAACTACAATAGAAGTTTGAGATGTTAACAATCCTTTCTTAACATTGACTGCATCACAAGTATTGCTCGACAGTCCTTTTATCAGCTGATCTAAAAGACAATGGAAGACTTTATATTGAACAGTATTGACATTGATTCTGACAAGAGAAAAAAAGACATGCAACACAGACGTGGAGCTCAAAATCATTTCTTGTCGAGTCTGCAAGTTTGACTCCTCCATATCTTTCATGCTAGAAACAGAAGCAAACTCATAATCTTTTCCAATGAACTTACACCTGCTTTTTGATTCCTCTAAACTAGCCAAGGACTTGGCCTTCTTTGCAATCCATGGGCCTGTGACATGACCCTCCTGCCAAAACAAAGTTAAAGAAGAAGAGTTTGTTCTGTTGAAGGCAGACAAAATGTTATGAGCCGAAAATTTCTTCTTCTGCATGTTGCATGTGCTACTTTGAGTTATCCCTTCATCAAAAGTAACCAAGAAAACCTCAAGACTACCAAATCTAAAATGCAAAGCATTTTTTTCTGACAAATAATTTTTCTGCAGAGCCAAGTTACCACTGTGAGTCATTGTTTCCTCTTTCACGATTGAAGAGGAGTAAAAATCTAGAGCAATAAATTGATCCCAGGTTGAGTAGCCCATAAAGTCCTTGTCACTTTCAAATGAGAAACAGAATATTACCCTTGCATTGCTGATTATTATATTGCCTTCCATGCTTGCTGATGAAAACAAAGTTGTCACTTGATTAGAGCCACTTTTGACATCCTCATGACCCACTATATAGTTCTCGTTAAAGACCTTGCATTGGTTATCGCCAGGCATACAGTTTTCAACACCCTTTAGTAAATCTAATAACATGTTCACCAAAGGATAGTTCACCCAAAAAACGAGGGGTGGTAGATTCAATGAAAATGATTTTGACATTGTGGTACTATTGTCAGAAGAACTAGGTATCACATCCAATTGCGAAGAAGTAATGCCGTAAGTTTCCAGCAACGTAACTTTTGTAACGTTGTCTTTGTTTCCACATGGAAAATCCACAGAAAATGAACTATTTGATTCCATGAGATCAGGATTTTCCACTGAAAAACCAAATGGAGGTAGAGCACCTACAACATCCACTTGCAAACGCTTCGTCAGAAGTGTCTGAAAGTCACTGCCACTATTGTGGAAGTCAGTGTTGGAGGCATCATTTTTGAAGTTCAAATAATCAGCAACCTCGATATGCTTGACAGTTCCATGAAACATCGTTTTCTGAGTAGATACCTGCGGACCATACAAAATGTGTTAAGTGAATGGAAGTAACAGAAAAGGATCCCCAACACAGAAAATTTTGAAAAGAAGAGCCTCCTTACCAGGAGACGGGGAGGGAGGGGTCAGCACACACACATACACAGAGTAATACACAAGAAAAATGATTTCCAAGGCACAAGTTTTACCTGCATAAGAAGATGGACATCACTGAATTTAGCAGCCACAAAATGAACCGCCGAGTCTGCGTTGATCTGTACTTTCTTGGGATCGGTGAAATGATATTGATTGTCATCAAGGAAGGAGAGAACGATAGAAACTCCAGAGATAGTTGCCCTAAGATTTGTTTCAACATGCTGCAATTCTGTATCTAGTACTCAGTGTATGAAAGAATATATTAAGTGGTAAACATTGGGAATCAATTAATCTATGACTAAAGGCATGAAAGAAAAATATGTGAAAAGGTTTATCACGACAACATAATTCATCATTCATGTGACATTAAAAACATTTTAATCCATTTCATGAGTCTAACAATAATGGTCAGTAATATCATGATGGAAAAAGTCAATTGAAAGCTTATAGCCTCTAGTCCAGGTCATCCAAAGTTACATTGCCATCTTAGTTTTATTCCTTACCAAAAAATTCCAAATGGGTAGATTACACAAGTATATTTTTCACCATGACCCTTTACGTTCCTTTTGCTTCCCAAAATGACCACCGCATTCATTATTTTTATTCCTTACCAAAAAAATTCCAAACGGGTAGATTACACAAGTACATGTTTCACCATGACCCTTTACGTTCCTTTTGCTTCCCAAAATGACCACCGCATTCATCTTCCATGAGAAAGTTAAATGTTCTATTTAACGACTCAACATTCTTGGACCAAAAATAAATAAAAGGATTGATTAACTTAATAGGAAACATATTAATGCTTCTTCAAGAGTACTTTTGTCTCCATCCAACCAAATAGCAATATAGAGCCAAAATAACAACAATTCGAAAAGAACAAAACACTGTTTTTTCCTTTTTGCTACCCTAACCCAAAAGTATTCCAACTTACCGGTGAACGAACATCCCCTAGACAAGTCCAATTCAGATCAACTTGATAAAGAACTTTCCATAACAGCATAAAAGTAAAATCACAAAACTAGAAACAAATAGTTCCCTGACCCATGCTTAAGGTAAAATTATTGTTGCAGGATAATGAATGTAAGGTAGAAAACTTCTTTTTTTAAAAGGTGGTATTACACAGATGAAGAAGCATAGCAGTATTTTAAGTTTGAATACGTGAGCATAACTAACACAGCAGAGTAGAGTAAGTGCATACACACCACAAGGAACATGCAAAGATCCAGAAGCAAGGCTGGACGCAGCAGTGATTGCACTAAAAACCGAGTTCCACATCCCACTGCTGCCTAAAGCATAGTGGGAACTTCTTATTTCATTTAAGCATTCAAAAAACTGGTCCACACTGCAGAATTGCGAAAAGATAAAACACTCTGTTTTAGTTAATTGTTATACTAAATGACTCAGAAGGATAAAAAATCATCAACAAAAAAAGTAACAATGTATCGTGATTTTTCAATCTAAATCAAGTCTAGATATATACGATACTTACACAAGGCATAAATGGAAACGTGTAAGCAATGAAATAATTAACACAATAAACAATATATTGTGCAAACTTGACAAGCCTGCAACAATGATCCAAACTAAGAATCTAGATGTCTCATGCAGATGTTCTGTAATCATTATTAATATTTGAAGTGATAAGAAACTGCAGAAGAAGACATATTTAGAACCCACTGGGAAAAATTAGAAATTATAATTTGAAAATTTTGGATTAAGGAACTAGATCAAATTATAGACATATTGATAACATAAGACAGCAGAACATTCCACATTTATAAACTTTTTAAGATAAGAACATTCCACGTGCATAAGTAAAATAACAGAAAAAATAATTTATACTTCAACAGATGATCACATAAAACCTTGCATTAAATGCATAAATTTAAAAATAATAATAATAATAAATTTGACTACCAGTCAAACACTGGATGTTATAGAGGACGTGGGCAATACCAACCTAGCTCCAAAATCAAATTCTTCTCCAACTTTTTCTTTCTCTTTATGTTTGACAGAGGATGACACCCAATTTGATATAAGGTGAGAGCCAGGCAGAATCCCACCACAACGAGGAAACATTTCATCGGGAGTCGTTTCAGCAGAAGCTAGCAATGATGAATGGCAGTGAGGTGCCCGCTCAAAGTAACCAGATTCGTTCAATTTATCATGTATACATCCATCACCATTCTTGTTTGAATTCCAATAAGCTTCAGATAAAAGTAAAAGGCATTTGATAGTGCTAGGTTGAAGTTTTACTTGTACAGGATCAACAAAAAGATCCCCATCCACTCTGTGAATGTCTAAGGAACCATCCCTCAAAGGTATACATAATTTCAGGTTACCTGAAAATCCACCTATTTCTCCAGTCAGAACTGGAGTGCTAACATTTGATGGAACAGGGTCTAACACCATTTGGGCAGATGTTGTCCCAGACATACATGAAAAGGATTTTGGGTTGTCACAATCATCCATGTGAAGAAACTCGAGCATTGCCCCTTGAAACTTCACGAAATTATTCAGCTGACTTATTCCAAGAAAGCTTTCAACTGCATCCACACCCAATTTACCATCCTCTGTAACACAAGTGCCACATTCTATATCTGAAATCCGGAGAACAAGTGTGGTATCCGGTCCTGTTCTGTTTTTGTTTTCTTCATAGAAAGAATCAAATGCCACTATCAAGTTTGTTATCTTCAAGTGAAAGCTAGCAAGCAGCCCTTTCACCATCTTCGCAACTGTCTTAACACCTTCATGGATATCCCCATAGGTAGATTTTACAGCATTTTTAACCACATCATGCTCTGGCTTTCTCGATTCATGATGATTTCTATGACCACCACTAGAAGTTCCACAACAATCCATATGATCATTCTTCAAGCAAGGTGAAAGCACAAGCTCCAACTCATTGATTTCAACCTCACAGCCTCTACTTGTCCATGGCATTCTAATTAATAAGGACCCAATAGATCCTTCTTTAAAAATAACCGAAGCTGCTGTACCAACCTACAAAATATAGGACAATAACTGAAACGTTGTTCAAAATGAATAGTGAGACAATTTGAAAATGTGAAATGGATGCACTTTGTTAGGCCATTTGGCTAGAAATAAATAGGTGTATTTTTTCAGTTGAAACGCATTTTTGCTACTTTCTTACTTTTTTACTGGTCAAAGAATGTCAAGTATATTCACCTCAATATGCTCCAGACAGGCAAGTTTACGTTAATTGATATTTTATCCTTTAAATTTAAGGATTTATTCATCAATACTTTTATTTTTCCATAATAATATTATTATTATTATCTATAGAAAGATTGAAGAGTGAGGCTTACAATGGTAAGTACAAAAATATAAATACATATATTTAAAAAATAAAAATAAAACCAAAATAGAGTACATTGAAAAAATTTAAAAAGCAAAGACAAACTATAACTCAAAGTACTAACAACCTCAAACTTAAAGAACATTAGTGGTTCCGATAAGACTGATTGTCAAAGCATTGCTGCCTGCTTTTACCCAAATAAGCATTATCATAACTTATATTTGTTCATCTGGATAATAAACATTATAATATTAATGGCAACAGAATGAAAGTTATAATTAAATGGATAGGAATACAACGTTTGCTCCCTACTTCGAAGCCAAACAAGATCAAGAACAATGTTATCAGACTTCTAAGCCAAACATTCATGATCTGGATGTGAATGAGTCGAATTACTTATCCCTTGGTCTCATCGCTAGTTGACTCCTCCTTGTCGACAGCCAGCCAGCAGTTGCCGAACGGGACTTCCTTGCCTTCAGCCTAGCCGCCTTGTCTTATCCCGCCCTTTCGGACTACCTTTCCTTACTCCTTCCCTGTGTCTATCTTTTCTTCAAAAGGCGAAGCAGTCCCTAGGAAAGATTATGGTTCTCAAGTATCCAATTAATTAATCCCCCCTAGCTTACTAAGCACTGGTTCGAGACCGGCCAAGCAACTAAGGAATCAATTATCAAGGTTCAATACCCCACCATCACAATGGTTGAAACTAAAAAATAATCAAAGAAAAAACTCCTCCTCAATTTCCGGCATCTGAAAACCACAAAACTTGAAGATCATAACTTGTTCACATTCTGGCGTGTAACTAACATGCTACCAAGGAAAGTTAGCAATTTTAATTCACCCAACTTTTCCTGAAGTCTCTTGTTGAAACATGACATTTTCCAATGTCCCAATTAAAAAGAAGTGAGAGAGAGGGAGTAACAAAAGCGAACCTTCTCATTGAGAAAATCAACGTTAAGTGCAAGGTCTCCGAGCTGAATTGTGCCTTCAGCAAGCTGCACGTCTAGCTGGTCGAGATCAATATCCCCCAATAGGAACTGCCCCAATTTCTTTTTCAATAAAAACTTGCACAATCTCTTAACAGCGAATTTCGAGAACATGGCTTCCGCCGTCTTCGCGATGTTCCACGGAAACATGGTGGCGTCGCCGGTTAAAAAAAAAAAGAAAAAAAAGTGTTGGAACGACAAAATTGTGGGAGCGATCAGGGCTTAGTGGAAATTGATTAGGGTTTTGAAATTCGCCGTCGCTCGTGATGGGAAAGAATTCCCCATCAAGAGCAGAAAGAGGAAAATGGAGAGAGGATAAATAATTTTTGGTTTGATCTTGTGCAGCACCAATGAATTTGCGGAGCCCTCCGAAAATTTTCGGTTTGCTTGACGATTACGTGAAAAGGCCCAGCTTTTTCCGGGAAAATTTCAAGTTCGTGTTTTATTATATGCAAAGAAGGTCTGTTAAGTAATTGAATGGAAATAATTTTTTAACTCAAAAAATATATATATATATATGCAAACAAAAATAGGTATATGTTTAAATTTGAAATTAAATGCAACTAACCATAGGACTAGTAATTGTGTTCTTCTTCTTTTATACAAACTTCTAATATTTTTTTTATTGTTAGATATCTTTTTTGTTGACAAAATTAATTTATAATCAACATCAACTTAGTTGAATAGAAAATCGGATTCACTCCTTCTTGATTCATAAAAATCGTATTTACTCCTTCTCGATTCATATTTTTATATTTGTTGTATTAGAACGAAAAATATAATTTATAAAGAATAAATAACTATAGGTTGGTAAATAATACTTGGTAATTTATTTTTTAAACATTTTAAACTTCAAAGATAATAATAATAATATTGTTAATAATGTAGAAATATATGTGTATATGTGCATAAACATTATTCAAATTTATTATATATGTTTTTGTTGAAATAATATTCAGTATGTAATTTGTAGTTGAGATAATAATAATAGTTTATTTTTCTTAAAAAAGAAAAAAAAAAGTTGATGAAATTATGAGGGTGTTTTTTGTTTATGGTATAAGAAAAGTACAAGAGTACTGTCGTCTGTAAAAAAAAGGTTTTCAAATATAATTTTGATCCATGAAATTTAATGATTAAATTATCATCCTTTTCAACCTTTAAAATATCTATTTTGATATGCGAAATTTATTTTAATATTTTAACTTTTAAAAAATAATTGTTATGAATCTCGATATATTATTTTTTTATTTAGTAGTCGCAGTAGCAACGATAATAATAACGAGGTTGAGACCATGTAAAAAAGAGTGAGTTGTGACCAAGAATAAAATCAACGATGATAGCAAGGTTTGTCTTAATATAAAAAGTGAATGTGAGAAATGAGGAAAAGTGAAAAATAAGATACCACTATCATCACCTTACAGTCCAATTAAAACAAAAATAATATCTGGTTAACTATCACATTTCTATTAGTCAGCTACTCAACAATCTCGAGGACCATTAAAAACAACTTTATAAATCTCATAGATTAAAAATGTCAATTTAAAGTTCCACAGAGCAATATAACAATCAGCGGTTTTTCTACATTTACAAAATAAAATAAATAAAAGACTCAAGGAAGCCGCCACTTTAAAATATAAGCTTTACATATATACATATTACAAGTTGTAATTTATAGATAACTAAATAATTAGAGAATAGATGTAAACTTCGGCATAGATCAATCAATTAAGACGTAGAGATAACTTCCATTAAAAGCAAGCGGTTTAAAAATTGAATCTCATTGTCGATCCCGAGATGACGCAATGACAAAAGTCTTGGGTCTTGTCTTGTGGCATAATCTATCATGGGATATTGGGTTGAAGTCCTATGCTAGTCACTATATTGACAAACTCAACCAACAAGTTCTATTTACACAGATCCAATTTTGAGAAATCAAAAAAATACCAAAGGTCTAATAACTCAATACAAAAGTTACGATCTCAAATTTAAAGAATCAACGAGCTAACAACAACCATCAATTTGGTTGCAAAATAATAGCAAGTACTTACAAAAATAATAAGCTCTAACATTTATTAATTCACATACAAGTGTGAAAAATATTTCTAACAGCCTCTAATATTTTCTAATGTTTCTCCATTTTATGTTAATTTTACATCAAATTATTACCACCGTCAAATGGTGGTATAATGGGTTTATGGTCGAATGGGATTATCCCTCCCCAATTAGAATACTGCGGACGCATAAGTAAGATTTGTCCCATTTGGAGACGAATCTCACGTCATTTCATTTAATAATCATTGTTTTTAGTTTACTTCCAGGATTAATGTTTCATCTCGAAAATATTTATGGGTCAAATATAAAAAATAAAAAATAAAATTTTGAATTTTTAAATGCAAAAAAAAAAAGGAAATAGATATCAACTTTAGTTTTTATTTGTTTGATCATAAAAGTTATGGATTTTTTCTAGTTAGAAGGAAAAAAAAAGGGCTTAAAGCCTTAAACATATAAATAGTTCATAAACAGAACCAAAATATACTTTAAATAATATATATTAAAAAAAAGTACCGGCTCTAATTTCACGAAGATATTCCTTGATTTTCTGGTCCGAGACCATTGAAAACCAAGCGATTCCATCATCATCATCGTCAAATTCCCCAAATTACGAATTTCTGGGGAAACAAAAATCAAATTAAGGAGACCGGATCGATGAGCATTTTCGCTAATCAAAGAGGTTCCAGATCATGGACCACCGGAGAGGAGCTGCCGGTTTCCAATGGGGTTCCGATTCCTCCCAAGAAAAAATGGTCGAATGCGATGCCTCTGTTCATCGCCCTCGTCGTCATAGCCGAGATTATTTTTCTGGGTAGGCTCGATGTGGCGAAAAATGTAGCCATGGTCGATTCATGGGCCGATTTATTCTACCGTTCGCCACCTTCCCGTGCACTGATCGGCGGAGCCGATGATTTCAATTCTCGGCCACTCGACGGCGACCGCATTTCGGAATTGGGGATTTGTGAGGAGTGGTTGGAGAAAGAGGACGCCGTGACATATGCCAGAGACTTCGAAAAGGAGCCGATTTTGGTTTCTGGTTCTGATGAGGTTTGCTTTCCCTTTTTGGGATTAATACAATATCCCCTATGCTTACGTTTCATTCTAATGTACTGCATCTATGTTCAATAATGTACCGATAACACTAAGCATTGCATCGACGTAGAATCCGTATAATGTTACATGTAAGGAATATAAATCAACGATTCATTTTTCTATATCATTTGACGTGCAAATTTTGGCGTAACTTTTGTGTTTTGTATGCCCGGAGAGAGAGTTCATATATAGTTTTTGTCTATTAGGAGCTTAGATGTTAGTTTAGTGGCAACTGGCAAGATAGTTTCGTGTCCTTATGCTTGGCAGGAATTGAGCTTGAACGTGCAAACCTGAGTACGAGGTGAGCTAAAAGGATGTGGTGGCTTAACATTTGGAAGGGCCAAGGCCTTCAAAGTATTCTATCGAAGCATCTGTTTTTTACCACGATGAGAAGAGAAACTCTTCAATTGACTTTCTTTGATATTTTAAATCACCCTAAGAAATCTTTGGTTCATCTTGTATTTGTTCCTTCATTATGTTTTAAGGCCACCGTGAACAGGGGAGGGGAATTTATCTATACTATGCATAGCTTTTCCTCACCAGTACACCAAAATTCATTAATTTGTGTATAAAGTTTCAGGGTGACTATCTAATTATATTGTCGTCGAGTTTCATTTCTCGTGGGACTCAAAGCTCTAAAATCCCAATTTGCTCATGTTTTTTAGCCAATATATTTTTTAACCTTTTGAATTAATTATTGTCTACAGGGGAGGAAATCTTGTGCTGTAGGGTGTGAATTTGAGACCAATTCAAGTAAAGATCCCGATGCTGCTTTTGGTTTGAATCACCAGGGTGGAATGCCTTCAATTATTCGATCTATGGAATCATCTCAATACTATGGAGAGAACAATATTGCCCAGGCACGACGGTGGGTAAGCACAATCTCTTATCTTTCCATTTTTTTGTCGAACAACCTCTTATCTTTTCATTTTTCTCTTTGGAGGACAAAATTTTCCATTTCTTAGTAAGAACATCTTTAATGTGGGCGCACGAACCATCAAAAGACTTACAGAGTGAAAATCAATGTTCAAGCCTCTTGTAAGATTAGGAAATAAAAGAACCAATCTCAATTCTTATTATTTCCAGAATTCATAAGATAATCTTTGATGCTTTCTTGTAGGAGTGGCTATAGTATAGTAATGACCACCAGTCTCTCATCAGATGTACCTGTGGGATACTTTTCCTGGGCTGAGTATGATATCATGGCTCCAGTGACGGCAAAGAGCGAGAGTGCCCTTGCAGCTGCTTTCATTTCCAATTGCGGTGCTCGTAACTTCCGCTTGGAAGCTCTTGAGGCTCTTGAAAAGCTGAATGTCACAATACATTCCTATGGTGCTTGCCACAGAAATCGTGATGGAAGCAGAGGTGCAATTAATCAAATTTTTCTTGTGATCACAAATCTAACATATTATTTATTCATCTGTTAAATCTCTTGCTTATATGGTTCAGTATTTTTTCCTTGTCGTTTGTAATATGCTTTTCTTTTTAAGCCACTAAATTATCAGTTTTTCTTCCTCTATGGGACTTCCATCATATTGTTTGTTATTAAGAAGAAAGAGTACTTCTCTCATCATTTGTTAGATCTACAGTCATTTATTGTTGTTGTGTGCTTATGGTGATAAGTGCATGCTTCAAATGTTTGCTATCTTTTAATCTTGATAACATGGCAAGCATGAACACACTATTTTTCAGACATGGATGCACACTTGATGCACGACCTGGAGTACAATGATTTTCAAATTTGGTTACATTTGAAACGTGTACAGGATGCACATTAAGAAATATTCAAGCCATTTAGGGGACATGTTTAGTAGAGAAAATAGAAAAACATGATAATTCTTCAACCAAACTGAGAAATATTTACATCCAAGTAACCAAGATACAAATAGAAACATGAACCTGATGGGGTGATGTGAGAAGACGTGGAAGATGTTTAAGTTGAAAGATTTTTTTTGGTAAGATTTTATTACCGGGTGGATTATTTGACTGGATTTTGTTGTAGTGAAAAGTTTCCCATACCTGGACTTCTCGTGTCAAATAAATGGGTCTATGGGTTAGATATGCTTATAATTGGTTGGTTAAACTTTTTGGGGGACCTTATATCTTGATTTATACAGTTGTATATAGTAGTGAAAAGATTTGTAATACACATTTCTAATTTGCTCTTTGCAGTGGACAAAGTGAAGACTCTGAAGCGCTACAAGTTCAGCTTGGCTTTTGAAAATTCCAACGAGGAAGATTATGTGACTGAAAAATATTTTCAATCTCTAGTTGCTGGTATGAAAACTAAACCTCTTCACCGACTCTTGGATATCACTTTTTTTTTTCTCATTATCCATTCAATGATGAGGTCTAACATAATTGTATTTCTTTTATATACTCACATATTTCTCAAACATTTGAATTGGAATTGTAATTCGAGAGAGATTTTCATGTATCAGAAATGTCTTACAATAAAAATTCCTTCGTTTTGCAATGACAAACAGACAAAGAGTTGCTTGAGAATTATTTGCTTCCTTTTTCAATTTTATTTGTCAATTTGTCTTACGGGTACTGGAGAAAGAATTATTTCATTCATCAATCCAAAATCCGGTCCTTGTATATGAATGGTCTTACGGATGCTTAATTGCTTATACTAATGAAAGTTATGGCTTTTTTTTTTTTTTTTTGCAGGAACTGTTCCAGTGGTTGTTGGTGCTCCAAATATTCAAGAATTTGCTCCTTCACCTGGATCCGTTTTGCATATCAGGGAGCTTTCAGATGTTGAGTCAGTTGCCAACTCTATGAAATACATTGCTGCTAATCCTGTCGCATTCAACAACTCTTTGAGGTGAAATTTAAATCTTTGATAAATGAGATATTTGATTCTTAGATTTATATTTGTTTGTTCATTGGATAGTCATCAGGTCTATTTTTTAATATTCCACCTCAACTTCATGCATCTGGTATTTCCCGTTTTAGGTGGAAATATGAGGGTCCAACTGATTCTTTCAAGGCACTATTGGATATGGCTGCAGTTCATTCGTCATGTCGCCTTTGTATTCATTTGGCAACTGGTATTCATGAGAGGGAAGAAGAGGGCCCAGCATTCAAAAAGCGACCTTGTAAATGCACCAGAGGTTCGGATACCGTTTATCACTTGTATGTTAGAGAAAGAGGAAGGTTTAATTTGGAGTCCATCTTCTTGAGGTAATTCATATACCTTTTTCAAACTTTCTGGATCTCTGAGACGTCTATTTTTCTCAAACAAATTCCACCACAAAGCCAGATGCTGCACCATTGGTCCAACTTATGTTGATATAGCTGAAAATGAATTATAAAATGTACGTATGTTACTCAGTTTTTCTAACTTTGGGATGGTAAAGTGTGAGTTTATGATTACTAAATAGTGTATAATATAAAAAAATGGTAGACGGCCAGTGAAAAAGTAAAAGGTGTTTAGAAAGAATGAGTTCAAATTATTGTAGCCATATCTTTTGTAGGGGTTGGGTGTTTGTCTGGTGTGATTAGTCGAGGTGTGGTGCGCAAGCTTGGAATACTCCGTCATAGATGAAATATAAACAAATAAAAAAGAGAATTTATGTGACCTGGTTCATTAAATTCATAGTCTGGGATTTACCATGTATCAAACTTAACTTTGCCTTCTTAACTTCAAGTTATACAACTCGTTAGCCAAAAATTAGAGAAAATAATGTAGTGTACATACGTTGTCCAAATTCTGCCCTCTTTTTTTCAGAAGAAAATATCTCAAACCTTAGTTTGCAGGTCCAGTAATCTGACTGTTGAAGCGTTGGAATCAGCAGTGCTTTCGAAGTTCAGTTCTTTGAAGCACGAACCAATTTGGAAGCAGGAAAGGCCCGAAAGCATAAGAGGAGGGGATGAATTAAAGTTGTATAAAATATACCCAGTTGGGTTGACACAGAGGCAAGCTTTACATACCTTCAAATTTAAAGGGGATTCTGATCTCAGAACACACGTGGAAGATAACCCATGTGCCAAATTTGAAGTCATATTTGTATAGATTGAGATTGAAGTTTGTTTCCTTCATGTTTGACTTGAACAGAGGCTGCCACAAACCCCTTTGTAAATGATCTCCTGAGATAATGGCCCACTTTAGTTTAGAGAGGAAATTACACCATTATATATGATCTTTTCCCAGGGTGAACATCAATAGTTAAATTTCAATCATTTGGGGGGCAGAGAATGTCTCTTCCCCGTAATTTCTGTAATTTCGAGGATGAAATGTAATATTAGTTACATTGATGTTTTGATCGTTGAGCTATATTGGTGAATTTGAATAAAATGGTCTGATCATATATCATAGGGGTATGGAATTTGTCCTGTATATATACTATTATTATATTGCACTCAAGGTGGACAAAGTTTCAATTCTACCTCAATGTTAGAACATATCTGAATTTTATATTTTATATTTTTTAGAGGAGAGAGACTAAGATGTTTGTTGTTGCATATGGACCAAAAATGTGGCCACATGAAATCTGTTTCAAGACATCATTTTACCTGAACCAATTAATATTCTATTCCATGTTTTGGGAACCATGGAAAAATTTGAATACCAAGCATGCTTGCAACCCCAATACTTTTTTACTGTCTAACTTCTGTCAGTGTCAAACATGGCTTCTATTCTACAATGCCAAGTCTTCTAAAATAATTGATCTGATACAGAGAAAATATTTGAAGGAGACTGTGGTGAACCAGTTTCAAGCAAAAAGCTTCTACTACAATATGACCTAGATGTGCTTGAAGATGAGGCAAGATACCTTCCATCTCCACTGTGAAAAAGCACATCACTTCTATGCATTTTCCTCTTGCTCATGCTCTGTCTCCCTTCAGTGCCTCCATAATCTTCATCGTCAACTGCTTCAACGAGCCCTTGATGCATCGGGTCTGAACTCTCGTACAGTAGCCGAAGCACCTGTTTTATTGATGGCCTTGCCCTGCCTTCTCCCTCAGTGCAGCGTCTCACAATCGACACGATTGTGCAAAGTTGTTCCAAGTCAAAAGAGTTCTTGATGCTAGGATCTACTAGTTCAGTTATCCTTGAATCCGAGATCATGTACAGCTGAGACCATTCAACTAAATTCTTCCCATCTTGTATCGCACGTCTGCCGGTAACTATTTCCAATAGTAGCACGCCGTAGCTGTAGATATCACTTTTCTCTGTAAGCTCTTGTGTGATAACATACTCAGGATCCATATAACCTGAAATTGACGAGTGTCGATATATTGTTAGCTTACAAAACAATAATATCCAAATATAAGTTGAACAACTTGTCTGTCTTCCAAACCTGGCGTTCCTCGAATATCTGTATTCACCGGTTCAAAGAAAACAGAACCGTCCTTTGAAGCGTGGGCAAGGCCAAAATCTGCAACCTGGAAGGTGAAATAGAAAAACAATAAGTTTGCAGTTGGATCTGCAGTTTGTTACTGTGGCATCAAAAGAAAAGGGCAAAATTGTCATTGTATTTTTGAGAAGAAACAGAAGCAAAATTGTCATTGTAAATGAACTTGCCAAGTTACCTTAGCAATAAAGTTCTCATCCAGTAAAATGTTGCTGGACTTGATGTCTCTATGGCACAGTGGGGGATCACAATAATAGTGAAGGTACTCCTGCAGAGGATAATACAAAATGAATATGGTTTTCCTTCATTAAAAAAGTTGCAGAAAACAGCCTTTGAAGATGGTTAGCTATTAGTTCATGAGCTCTTGATGGGAACAACAATATCAGAACATTTACCAAAGCATTGGCGACATCAATGGCGATTTGGATTCTCGTCCGCCAACTTAGAGGGGTCCTGCCAGGAGCTGCACGAGTGTGAGAACGCGTTCATTTAGACAAAACATGAGAAATGAAGAAAACATGTCATGGAAGAAAAAGAAATCCCACTTTTTCGTCATACTGATACTACAGATTATAAAATGATTCATGCGGATTTTTCTTTTTGTTTTAAAAGGATGACCAGTGAGCTCATAAGTAACAACAGCCTTGAGACTAAAAGTTTGTTCAAATGTCATCTGAAGTTTGACTTCATCAACAATTCTTGAAAACTTCCTTTCCAGTTAAATCTTGTTTAAAGAACTTTAAAATGAAACATGGGAAAAAAGAAAGAGTTAGAAAGAACAAATGAGTGAGTTGAAGAAACTAACATACCATGCAGATGATCTTTCAAGCTTCCATTCGCCATGTACTCGTACACAAGAAACCTGCCAAGGAAAAAGAATTGTGTTTCATGTTGTCGACACACGACGTTAAACGCCTCTGCAAAAGTATAACGATTAGGAAACTACCGTTGGTGCTTTTCAACACAAAAGCCTCTTAAAGCAACAAGATGCCGGTGGTGTAATCTTGCAAGCAGCTCTATTTCTCTGCCAAATTCATCCTCCCCCTGCTCGGAGACTTTGTTCATCCTCTTCACAGCTGCCACTAAGCCATCACTAAATTGCGCTCTATAAACGGTTCCATACCCTCCTTGTCCAATTGTTGTACTAAAACTATCTGTTGCCTTCTTGATCTCCTTATAGCCGAATTTTTTAAACATAGAAGGTCCTGCACGAGATGCAATTGCAACAAAGGGCGCAAAACACAAAAGAAAAAGATAAGTGAAACATTACTTGTACGTTATATTGCTATTGCTAAGCACAGAACTCAAAATACCGGAGATAAGTCGCCCAACCTTCCTGATATTTTTTGATGGAACGAGAAGGGAAGGATTTTGAAGAGTTGACATCCATCCTTTCGGAATCCTTTAGCTCTCTGCTTTTCTTTCGAATCAGCACAATCAAGATCACCAGCATCATTACAGAAACTACTGTCACCGCAATGCCAATACCTGCCACTAGTGTTAGATGGTAGGAATGGTGACTTTTATCACCAGAAACACCTAGTGTAAGCAGCCCCGGACTTGCAGCAGCCGATGGACTTGGAGAAATATCTGGTGTAGCCAAAGATGGGGATGGAGCTGAAAAGAGCATAAAAATTTAAATCACATTCACACTACACTCTGTTGGAGAAGAGGAATTTGAAGGAAATTTTATTCATCACTCAGGACTAAGGAAACTTGTATCTGATTAAAATAAAAGACGAACAAAAAGAAAAGCATGAGCAAATCTAACTAGGACTATATGTGTAAGCAACTAAAATTTGCTGCCTTGAAAGTCCAACTTAAAAGGTTACATCTTTAGGCAAGTAATCCAGCTTAACCAATTCCTGCATTAGAATTGGGCAAATCTAGCTGCTTTCGTAGTAGAGACTTGAGCGAACCAAGTAATCAAAATGAACATGCATTAACAAAAACCATCAAAAGTCGGGCATTAATCTTCAAAAAATGAGTTTGAACCATAACAATGCTATGCAGTTATATAAAGGTGATCGGCAGCCGCGACATCTAAGAAATCGGTATAAGCAATCTTTAACATAATAAAATCCATAGCATGATTTCACCAATTATGGATGAAGTGAATTCGAACAGTTAATGCTGCCAATGTGCTCATATTTGCTTCTTCCTCTCTATATCTTCATCCATCCCACCTTAAAAGATTGCTAAATGCTGAAGTATTATTTACACCTAACTGCTGAATAATCGTACCTCCGTATAACAATGTTGCAACATACCACAAAAGTAAGAGGCAAATGGCATAGAACAACATGCATTTTGCAAATGATATCTATTGAACTTTAAGAGTTTGCAGTAATAAATAGGAAAAAGAAACTCATACCTGGAGGCTTGCTAAGGCCATGAACTCCAAAGAAGCAGCTTGCAAGATCAATGATTGAAGTAGAATCAAGTTGGCTAGCAAGTGTAATAAACGTAGCATCGCGACAAGTATTTAGCGTGATATTATCTTCTCTTCCAATCAGATTGCGGAGATACAAAATCCCAGTATTGATACACTTCCTGCAAGTACTCTCCTCCGAGAGTGGCAATTTGCAATTTTCGCTGACGTTCATAAATTTTGGAGACCGAAGCATCTGTGTGACAGTTTCTCGACCTCTACACGCAAAGTTCACTGGAATTTTCGTTCCAACACCACAGAAAGCTGTGGCATTTCTAGGAACCCCATAGAGTCCCATGGTATCAAACAACGATTGCAGACAAATGTTAGATAAGTTTGAAGAAACTCCCAGTTCCCCTGTTGCATTTGCTATCTTAGCAACAGAAACTGCAACAAATGCATTGATATAGCGGCAGCACTTCCCTCTTTCATTGGGGTTGGAGCAAATAGAGGCAGCTAAAGTAAAGTTTGATCCACTCAAATCCAAGGGGCAGTCTGTTGAAAGTTTCAGAACAATAGCAAAGAAAGAGTTTTGAGCATTTTGAAGATAATATTTGCTTCTGAAATATTTACCATCTTAATCCAAAAACAATAGAAGAATCAAATCAAGCTCAGCCAAACAAAACCTAGGCCCACAAAAGCAAACTCCAGACTGCAGCAAAATGGAGGGTAAAAAAATATCCCGCAGTCAATACGGGCGCATTTAGGCAGAAAACAAGACCGCCCCGTTTAGTCCTGAATCATTACAGTGACTTTTTCTTTCGCTATTCATTGTGTTCTTGAGGGAAACGAAAAACCCATTTCTATAAACGCCATTTTTCTTAGAAACTGAACTAGATCAGAGAAATCGAATCCAGAAAAGAAATCGCAATGAAAATAGAAGATTCAGAGTGAGAGAGGGAGAGAGAGAGATGAGTTGCGTCTGAGTATTCAAGCAAATGGAACGAAGAGACTGACCCGCCATTGTTCGAGGAAGCTGCATTTGAAGAAGTATAAGAAACCCCAATAGAAACGAAGCTCTACTCAGTGCGGTCGCCGCCATGATTGAG